GTTACTCTTCTATAGTGAAAAAATGTCACTCATTTATTTCTAATATCCATTCAAATGAAAAATTATAAGTTTGTGTGAGTGTAAAATGTTATTTTTGGAGGTTGTGGGAGAAGGAAGACATGAGTGAATCGGGGGGGGCACAAATAGGTTTACAGTTGTGAGTACAGGAAGCAGTTTATTCTTGTATTATTACTTATTAATTATTGTATTTTTTAATTAAAAACATACCTTTGCTCATCCCTGTATAGTACACAATATTTTAAAATGTAATACATATACAATACATAACTGATATACTATATAAAATACAATTATTTAAAATACTGCTAAACAATTTATAGAAAATCAGTCAGAATTATTATCCAGTTCTTAAGTAATTCTGTCCCAATAAAAGGTAAAGTTTTGGGTTTTGGTCAAGGAATATTTCAAGTTATTTTAAAAATGTTTTATTCTGGAGTTCTTGTATGAAACATTATTTGGCTATTAATTTATATCAGTGTTTTGGCAATTAAAATCTTTTTCTTGCTCTGGTCTTTCAAATAAAGATCGTGACTTACAGAAAACTAACTGCATTTTAAGTGTTTATAATATACATTGACAAACGGAAACTTACAACCTGTTTATCTTTATTGAGTTAGAGTACCACAATTATTCTTTGAGTCTCAGGTCTTTATATAAATGAACAATACAGTTTCATAATCCAAAGTAATATTAGCTGAGAATAATTTTCCAAGGAATTTGGTCTTGTTTTGTTTGTTTCATCATAGAAAGATTATGCTTTATACCTTTAATCTTAAATACTATGATGTAAGAAAAACAGGGGACTCTAATACTCAGACCCAAAGAAAGGCACCAGCACCATAATCACAGAAACTCCTTGTAATATAAAACAAAAGATCTCTCTCTCTCGCCCTAACTGGTTTGGCTCAGTGGATAGAGCGTCAGCCTGCGGACTGAAGGGTCCCAGGTTCGATTCCGGTCAAGGGCATGTACCTAGGTTGCAGGCACATCCCTAGTAGGGGGTGTGCAGGAGGCAGCTGATCGATGTTTCTAACTCTCTATCCCTCTCCCCTTCTCTCTGTAAAAAATGAATAAAATATATTTTTTTAAAAAGATCTCTTAATGATAACTTTTTGAATATGCCTTTTTACCCAATTGCAGCCAGGGTAGTTGATTAAAAACCATCTCCCTAAATAATCTCTACCTGATGATTTTAGATGAGAGACAGTAAGTATCTTCAGGAAATGAGATACATTTGTTTTAGCATGGCCAATATTCTGCATTAGTTTTACTAGTATTATTCAGTCATCTGCAGATTACCCAGTAATTTGAGTTACGCTAATAGCATAGAAATGGAGAAATGCACCCCCCTGTAATTCTGAATTAAGCTAGTATTTAATTTTATACATTTTAAGAAGACAAAAATCTGTTCCTTTCAGGATATTAAAATAATATATGCTTATAGTCTAATACATAGTGTGATGTAGATCAGAAAAATATAGCCAAATGAAGAAGCAGCTAAAATATATTCATACTTGTTTGTTTACTTTGATACTTATATATATATATATTGTATTTATAGTTGCTTTCAACATAGCTTAAGAAAATTTTTTCCTAGTGCAGCAATATATTTTACTTTGTGGTTTTGGTGCCTTAAAATTTTGAACACTATGATTGAATGAATGACTCTTGCTCTAAAATTCTCTGGTTAAGGACTGGAGATCCATACTGTCTTTATGGTATAAATCCCCTGAAATTGCAAAAGACTATGTTCATTTTGAAAGACAGCTACAATCAAGCTCCCCTTTAAAGAGGGTTCACTTTTCTGTGCTCTCAGGGCCAACTTTGAATTTTAATTTCTTGCTCCAGACTTTCAGATAAAATTGTGTCTAATAGAATAAAGATTACACCCAATAGCCTTTGTAAATATCCACTCAGAAATGGAAGTATTTGTATCCTTATTCATTGCTACATACTATTATCAAGTTGATAAGCTTTGCCATAGGTTTACAATACAATTTCTTTCATTCTGAGTAAAATTTAAAATCAATTCAGGGACCTGTTCTGTAAATATTTTATATACTTTGCTCATTAGCAGATGATCTAAATTTGAGAAAAACATTTTTTAAATTTACTTCAATAATGGCTTATCTGAATAAGAGAATTTTCAAATATATAAACTGCAAATTTTAAAACATATCTCCAATATAGTAAGAATATTCCAGAGTTGACTTTCCCCCAAGTAGATAAAAGTCCAATTCACAATCAGTGTATCAGAGCCTAATCTTTATAGTTGTTAACTTATCAAATAAAACTTTAGAAAAAAAAGCAGACTTGAAAACTAATAAGTTTATTAAAATAATTAGATATCAGTTTTTGCTTAATGTGAATTAAATAGTTAAGGAAATTGAAAAGATAGAGTAGATTGGAGATTAATGAAGACTACTGGATCATAAATAAACATGATTATTTGTTCAGTGGAATATTAAACTTATGAATGTTTAAAGAAAAGTATAATATCCCTCATTTTCTGTGATGTTTTGTATATTGCTATAAATATTCATGAATAGTGAGTATCAGTTCAGGTTATCTGTGTGAATATAAATTTTTATATAACCAGTCACTTAGGGTTCATTGGATCATGCTTTTGCATATGAAATCACTGGTATCTCAGATGCACCACGGATCTGACCCAGCTCATGAATATTCACACACACACTGATCTTTCTGGAAGTAACCACATCTATAAAGATGGAAATCTTGTTAGTTTTTAATAATGAGAAATGTATTAGAATGCTGGTCCCAGAACAGTTTTACAATTTTACTGTTTTCATTTTTTTTGTAAATGATAAACTTCAATATACACCTTTTTTGATAGAACCTCTTTTTCATTTTACCTTTAAAAAGTCTTGTGCATGGTTTAGCCATAATTGCATTTGCTTCCTTTATTTGTTGTGGTCACCAAAAAACATAGACACTAAACAGTATCTCCAGACCGTATCTGAAGCTAATTTCCACTGTTTAGGTTTGGTCATAGATTCTCAAGTACAGAGATGTCCAATGTGCTAATCTGCTGAGGTCATGATATATATTTTACCAAAAAAAAGATACGAAATTATTTTTCATCTTTTTGTGTGGGGGGAAAAATAATATTCTAATCCAGTTAAACATTTAGTATGCTAGACAGAGCGTGCTGTAATTACAGAGGCCCATAATTACAAATTATATACCACTTTAAGCCTTGTTTCATCCCCCATTATAATGCTTCTATTTCATTGTAATGAAAGGCATATGTTTCAGTCAACAGTTATAAGTAGGTATCAAAATCAATGACCTGATCCTTATTAGCACCATACTCTAATTATTGAGCTAACTAGAAAAAAAACTGTTCATAATGAACTACTTCATATTTCTAACATTGACATTGTCAAACCTCTGAATGATTTTTTTGGGGTCAAAATGAATACCTTTTTTATTTTGTAAACACATTAAACTATGGTCAATGGCAAGCATTTATCTTTTTAACTCAAGTAACACACCAGATTATCTAACACCAGATTATTGAGGGAGGTGGTCATCAAACTGTGCCCTGAACTGTCTGAAAGTTAGGAATGATGCCATTGTCTGTTTTATGTATTACTAGTGTCCTGGTGCATGGATTCGTGCACATTGAAAGGAAATTAATTAGAAGAAATATTTTGATATTGCTATTCTCCCTCTCTCTATAGAAGTGTCAACCAAATTCACCATAGACAATGACATATTGAAACACATGCATGCGATTGGCACCAGCGAGAGCTTTATATGTATCGCACGTGCACGAGTCAACTTAGCCTTTTTTATACATAGAATAAACTTGCTTAATTAGACCTGCTTTCTGATTTAGCTAAACTTTTTCCAGCCCAGTGAAGCACCCCAGCTTCTCTTTCAGGTAATTGTCAGCAACACAGCAGTAAATATCAACACTAAGCAGATTATTATTGTAAATCAAGCAGAGAGAACAAAGAGTAAAATATTTAACTGCAGCAGTGTTTGACTATATTCTGAACAGTGAGAAAACCTGAAGTCATTTTCAAATTCCACCATTTCTTCTTTTTCAGTCGAGTCAAGTTTCTAAACTTTCTAAATGCCCTTTTTCTGGCAAATGAAAAGAAAATAGGATTCTACCAAGTCTTCTATCTACCTACCCCAGGACTTGTGCGAGGATCTAATGAGATGAGGCATGGGAAAACACTTCACAGACATTTGGTTAAATTGTAACATGTTGGCACCTGGCTATAAAGCAAGTCGGGTTCCTGGGCTGAAGAAACTCCAAGGAGGCTAGTCGCTAGTGGGGAGGGAGCCGGGCATGGCTACATGAAATTATTAACTGGGCGCCCACAGCGACTGTTGCTGGGCTGAGCTGGGCTATGGACCACATTTTTCATCATGGGGTCTTGGCAGCATTGACTGTGATTGGGGGGGGGGTGTCGCTCTGGAGTGGTGGTGGGGCCCTGTGTCCCACTTGGGGGAAGCCAAGTGTTGGTTTGTCAGCGCCAGGTCTGTGGTGCCATTTATTTTTAAATGGCCAGTGCGTGTCATAGCCACCAGTCAGAAGGACGGACACTTAGCCTTTTATATATATAGTCAGTCATTCTCAACAGGGAGCAGTTTTGCCCTTCCAGGGATTTCTGATGCTGTCTGGAGGCAGTTTTGCTCGTCACAACAAGGGGGACTGTACTGACATCTCGTGGGCGGAGGCCAGAGATACTGCTGAGTATCCCACAGAGCACACAAAGCTCCCACACAAAGATTACCCAGCCCACAATGTCTAAAGGCCAACATCCTATACAAATTTGTTTGAAGACATAATCCCATGTCTAAACATTTTGGTAGCTACTGGATTAGAGTACTTTATCAGTAAAGCAGTGAAAATGTATATCTTTTTTTGCAAATCAGTGGAGACTGATTCAATTATTAATTATAAATTTTATTAATTTCTTTCTCTTTTTTTTTGTTAGCAACAATTGTGTTAAATGAACTGAACTGGACAAGTGCCTTAGATGAAGTTTTCAAAAAAAATCGAGATGAAGATCCTTCATTGTTGTGGCAGGTGTTTGGCAGTGCCACTGGCCTGGCCAGATATTATCCAGGTAAGTGCTTAGTGAATCAGTAGGTACCGTAAGTCCAGACTTAATGTCTTGAGAACAATCTGCTCCCTTCTCCTACATTGAAAGAAAAAGATAGTTACCATGTTACTTTTAAAAGGAAAGACTATTTCTCTTTAAATGGCTTTGTATCTGACAAAACCACTTTAAACCCAGACACCTAAGCAGCACCTGAGGTATTGGCACCTGGAATCAGGCCAGGTAGCTGTGAGACCAATGATAGGTATCTGTATATCTGGATGGGGAAGTTATCCTGAATCCTAAAACAGTTCTGCGATAAAGATCCACACGCTCAGCATGGACCAGTGAGTCACATTGAGAATTGAATAGAATTTTCAGAACCTAATTGAAATTTTTCTCTCCAGATCTGGTTTATGTTTCTATATAAAATGCATTGATGCTTTCCTTCAATCTCAAATGAGGATTTGTAGAAATGAGTATGACAAAATAACATGCAATTTCAATGAAAGTAAAGCTTTCTTAGGTGTCAAGTTGGATTAATTTTGAGGGCATCTCAGCAATGAGATGAATGTATTTTATACATTAAATTGGATAAACCCTTTTGTGATGTCCTGTATATTTTCTTATAAAGGAGGGTTTGGAGAAATAAATCTATCAAAAAATGAAAAATTAATCACTAGTCAATCCTGAGAACCTGTTGAAAGAACTTTTAGTGAAATGTCTCCACTTTTAAGAACAAGCTGACAAGCACAAATACATTTTATTTCTTAAAGACATGGCCTGAGTTATGGGGTACTTAAGTAACTTGACTTGAAACAGTATAGAGGAGAATTTTTCTTGAGAGTTGACTTTTTGTAAACATGTTTAACAAATAGAATTAGTCACAATAAAAATCACAAAAGTGAACATGGAGAGAACTAGAAACTGGGTAATATCTAGCTTTGTATGGCAATAACTCAGTATCAAGGAAATTGATGATGCTAAGAAGGAGGGGCAAATCAGTTTGTAAGAGAGAACTAGGAAGGGGAGATTACAAAATAAGAGGAAGAGAGACCTTTGTGCTCAAGAATTGGAAGTAAAGACAGGTTGTGTTATAAGCACTTTTCAAAGATGGCTCTTTTTACAAATAGCAATTAACTTTTAAAAAATACTATTTAATCATATTCAATTCTTTCATTTTGCATGTGAATTGAGGAAGCAGGTTTTAACTTTTTAAAGCCCTATTCACATACTTTCAAATGTGCTGCCATTTGTCCACTTTGTTTTGGGAAAATACTTTAAAGGTTTAATTTAGCTGAATCCTTGAGGTCCCTCCAGAATATTAGCTGTGGAAGCAACCCTGTACTCTCCGGAAATACCTAGATTTGAACAATGGCTGGGCAGACATTTGCTTTCCTAGATTTTCTGACACCTGAATATGGGCCTATATCCCCTCTCTGTCTAGGAGATTCATCCTGGACCTTGCTGTGGGAGCCATGATGCTAATTAGGGACTGTGGAGAACCCGTTCTGGGATGGTAGTAGTTGGGCAGCAACACTCAGATTCCTGAAAATCTTGTGAGCTATGCAATACAAATGTATGGAATCAATTCTTAAAAACAAAACAAAACAGTGCAAACTCATTATCTTGGCTTGGAATTCAGAACCATGACTAATACTCCATAGGAGATGACTGAGACAAGCCTAAAATAATGATTGACATAACATCAGTTAGATCCCGGCAATTGGACCAGGGTTAAAGGTATTTTTAGGTATGTGAAATTCACCTTTCTTTTTCTTTTAATGAGGGTAAAAAATGTGAAGTCTGTAGAATAAGAAAAATGCACTCGAACTTGCTAATTGGAAATGCAATTAGTTTTCATGTGAAATGGTGTTTCTACCAAGAGAATCAGCCCTCAAATGCATCATTATGAGCTGCATTATTTCCTAGCAGCTGAAAATAAAAACTGATACTCTTCTGTTATTTTAGACTGTATTAACTAGAAAATGGATTTGTAATATGTATGCTTTCTCAAGAATATAACTAACACATATTTTAGTATTCTGATGTAATGTATAAACACCTTTTTTAAAGTCAGTCCAACAACTGACATAGTACACCTTAAATATCATATGAAGTAGAGTGTAGTCAATGATAAACTCACAGTTCATTTTTGATCAGAGGAAAGCATTCTCATGAATGCTCATGAATGATTAATATCACCTTTAACTTTGGCTTTCAGAAATTATATGCCCACAATGTAGTTGTTATTCCCACCCCCTTCTTTCTTCTGTCATCCCAAAATCTTATTGGAAGGCAAAAGAGACTCTAGACTGAGCAACCTTTCACTTTTCGCAGGGATTTTAGAAGCTCTATCTTTCATTCTGCATCATTATGAATCTGATCATTTCACTGTATGGTTATTAGTCATTTTTACTATTTGATCTTCCACAATTCTGAGCCTATATAAATAATGTACCAGTTAATTGCCACAATGGGATTTTACAACAAATTAATTAGTAATATCACAGAAGAAATCACGTTGTTTAATTTTACGATAATATAACTATCTTAACTATAATCAAGGGATATGTCCTAATAGTAGATATTTCAGAAGACTTCTAAGAGAAGATTCTTAATGTTTTTAAATATAAGCCATTTAAGAATCATGAATTATTATTAGAGATTTCTCTAAGGGTCATATATCTAAACATATTCAAGGAGAGGACTTGTTCAGCATAAAATTATTGTCTAATTCATCAACTTCTAATGTCATCCAATGGGTTTAAGTGGTGTGTGTGTGTGTGTGTGTGTGTGTGTGTGTGTGTGTGTCTGTGAGTGATATTGTGAGAGAAGGTTTGTAAAGCATTTAAATTAAAATATAGATTTAATTCGAATAAGTATGCATTAATTACATTTGAAATCAATGCAGTTAGACAAAAGTATTTTTTTATGATTACTGAAAATGGTAAAAGCTCTGAAATTAACTTAAGGTTCTTGAATCTGTATTGAATTACTTCAAATCCTTTAAATAAATTTAAGGGAAACAGTTTTTTTGTGTAGTTTTTTATTATAATTTAACCTTTTAATTAAAATTTCAAATGGACTAGCCATTATCAAATGGCTAGTTAATAATAAGGCTAAAATTATGATATTGTATGATAACAACCCAAGAAAAACAGCAATCTTTTTTATAGATCAAGATAGTATGGCTTTACATGAAAATATAAAGATTAAATAATTGAAAGCATAATTTCCATGATGCCAAATCTATTTTCTTCTAAGGTAAATTATTCTGTTAGTAGAGAAGAAAGAAAATATATAATTTCTGGAAACCTAGAAAAAAATATAAGTCAGCACCCAGAAAATCCCTGTGTCTGCAAATTATTTCTGAAATAATATGAAAAAGAAAATATGTTGACTTTCTTTTAAACTGCTATATCATTTTCCATTTTTGCCATTAAAAAACAAACAAAAATTATGCATAAAAATTGTATCTCTCATTTTAAAATTGTGGATAAGAAGAATGTGTCAATGGTGTTTTTGATTTATTTTAAATACTATTTTTATAGGTCATGTCTAATATTTTGATGTTATTTCTCTAATTTTTAATGTAACTTAATTTCTCTCTCCCTTTTACTTTCTTTTCTTTCTTTCTTTCTCTTAAAGCTTCTCCATGGGTTGATAACAGCCGAACTCCAAACAAGATTGACCTTTATGATGTACGCAGAAGACCATGGTAAGAATTTTAGGTAATCATGAAAAGATTAAACAGACAAAAGTAGGCTGCATTGTTTTGTGTGAAAAAGATAGAAAGAATCTTTCCATTATTAGGATGAATATTGTCTAATTATTTAAATGGCTCTGGTATTTTTTAAAATGTTAACAAATGCATACAGTTAAAAGTAAATGAAGATAAAGTTCACATGGGAACAATAATGAATATTGTTGAAATTCATCAACACATTTATTTCAATTGGACTACATTTATATACAATTTCATCTCCAAAACTCTTTTTAGCTGGTGGGATTTCTATGGAAAGACCCCCACTTTGCTTAGAGTAGAGCTCTAATTGAGCCTCTGGACTGAGTAGGAGGTGGTTTGTCTTTGGCAGTCAACTAATGAGAACTGGCCCAAACAGTAAGAGCTGCCCCTAGTTATAGTTATGTTGCTTAGGTTAATGTTCAGAAAAATAAGTATTATTTGTTTCTCACTAGTAAAGCAACTCATTTTCCTAATATAAAACAAAAAATACCAATAACTTATATTTTCCCAACTTATGTGTTGTAAGGTTTTAAAAATGTATTTAATATCTTTTCTTGAATTAGTTCACATTATGTCCAATATACTGCTTTGTAATCTACTCTTTTCATATCAATACCTTTTAGTGCCTGTTCCTAAAAGATACACTTTAGATCATTTTAAAATAATGACTATGAGGTAATTTATTTAAGAAATCCCCTATTATTCCACATTTAGATTATTTCTAACATTTTGCTAGGGTTCAGACAAATTCTCAGACATAGTGGTTGATTCAGAGTAAATGTATTTAATGCTTTGACGATGCCGTTAAATATCCCAGTAGCAGTTTACATGAACATCAACCATTATAGTAGCGCAAAATATTATTAATCCACATATTATGTTTGTTGATATTTCTCCAAGTGTGGTGGCTGTGAAGCAACGGGAGGTAAAGACAATTACATCCCATGATTTGGATTCGGGAAACAGCTGTTTTGGGGGAAACTTAGGAGCTAAGTGCTAAACAGAAGAGGCAGACAATAGTCTTTCCTCTATTCTTCCCACAGAGAGGCACGGCTGCACCATTTGTTAAGATGCCAGACATGAAGTAAATTTGCTTTCCATTGGAATTTCCCAGCAGCGCTTCCCCTTGCCTTCTTATAGTGACTCAAACTTGCCTGCAAGTTATAAACTCTGTTTCATGTAGTCCTGAGTATATACTACCTGTGCTGGATGCTGTCTGTACACTACTTGACAAGTCATCTGGCAAACTTCTGAAAAGTGAGATTTAGAGTCATGGGTACAGAGGCATCAGAGATGAGTAGAAAGTTGAATTCAGGTTCAGCCTTCCTGGTGGGGAGAGTAGGTCCCTGTGGCCTGGCACTCTGTGGCCACGCAACATGAACTTTGGGATCATTCACCTGCAGTTATGTTTCTCTCTCTACAATTCCTAAATGATCTGAATAAAACTCTCCTATAGACTCTTTAAAATGCAGAGATTCTAAATCTGTAGTGTTGGGTCAAACTTGGGAATCAACATTGTAAAGTAACTCTCCAGGTGGTTTCTTAGATTCTATGAAGTTTGAGAGCCACCACTGAGAAATCTTGGTAATAACATTATATATTTTTCTGTTTTTAATTTCTTTATTGTCCCATTGTATTTCTCTTCTGTTGATGTTGCTTTTTCATGGTCCTAGACCACATAACTATATTTCATGGTTTTGTGTTTTTTTTTGCATATTAAAATTTGACTTAGCCTTGTGATTATTTATTCTTATTATTCCTTAGAATTAGTTTTAAAATGTGTAGTCAACAAATTGAAGTTCAGAATAATTTTTCCCCCAAAAAAATGGGCTTCTAGAAGTTACATTATTTTGCTCTTAGTATTAAAACACGTCTCTTCATCCTTTTTTTAAATAAATATCTGAAAAACACAATTGAAACATTATGCCACTGGCATCTCTACTATTATAGCTTTTTAACATGGACAATGCAAAATTATGAATGAAAGAGCAGAACATTGTTGACTGAGATAGAAGAGAAGTAGATCTGTTTGGAAAATACCTTATCTCTGATCAGGAAATATCAGGGTAACAAATATCAATGTTTGCTATTTTGCAAGAGAAAATGTATTTATTTGAGATTTGTTTCAGGTACATCCAAGGAGCTGCATCCCCCAAAGACATGCTTATTCTGGTTGATGTGTGAGTAGTTAAACACTACATATTTATTTCTATACTGAGAATATAGGGTGGAGTCATAGATAATAGTAATGTGTTGGGACTGAGAAATGATTGATAGGTTGGGGGAAAAGAACAAAGTGTTATTATGATTACTTTTATATTCAGACAAAGAAGCCATATGAAGACAATAACAAAAGAAAAATTATGTTATTGAAAATGAGAAGAATCTATATCAGAATTGAAAATTAAGGCCTGGCATGGTTCTAAAGTCTGAGCTTTTTGAAAAATATTAATTTGCTTCTAATGTTTGGCTTTATATTTAAAATAACTTTAAGGTACAGTCTGGCTAAAACTAAGCAGTTTCTGCTACAAAAAAAGAATCATTCAGTTGACAACTAGTCATTAAGATTCAAATAACTTTGAAGGTTTTGACCACAAAACAGATAGAGTAAAATGTATTAAATGTCAGTACTGGGACTTTCTCGAGGGAAATGCTAATATATGTGAAAGAATTCCAGAAGTTTTTATATTGGTCATTTTATATGTTACAATGTTTCAGTTTAAGGTGTGTGTGTGTGTGTGTGTGTGTGTGTGTGTGTGTGTGAGAGAGAGAGAGAGAGAGAGAGAGAGAGAGAGAGAGAGAGAGATCCTCTAATGAAGTTGAAAATAAAATGGTAGAGCATAGAAAAACATATATCCTGCTATAAAGATTTGGTTTTTAAGAGTAATACCAAGGAATAAAATCAAAGCATAAAATGCTTTGATTATTTTTCCTGAGAAAATAAAGGTATGTCCTCAGATATTCTTCACCACATTGGAAGAAACAGAATCCAGTGATTTATTGACAAATAAATCTGTATCACAGGCTAACATTAACATTTGAAAATTTCTTCATTTTGACCTAAAGTAAACAAGTTCAAAACCTTATAACGTAGCCTGAGAAGAGGAGATACATGAATTAGACAAATGTAACTTAAATGTTCATTCATTCTCATTTCATTTGTTAATGCATTTAAGCTATATCTCATTTAAATTAAATTATTGTGGAATTTATATCATACACGAATCCTTAAGTACAAATTTTAAATGGTAATGGAATGTGTTATAATTCTATTGGATATATAATTTCCAGAAATAATTTATCATATTAAAATCTTTGAAAACCACATGCATATCCCAAAATTGAAAATATATATATTTACTAGGTAACTATGGGCTATTAGTAGTGTTGTATTAAGGTGTGTTTCCAGAATTTTCACCTACTGCATGGGGAGGAGAGGTGACTAAGAGCTGCCTGCAGTAGCTGTTACCCTAGCTCAGCATCTTCAGGTCAAGGAGATCTGAGTCAGAGTGGAGAGAGGGTGGAGAGGAGGCCACTGTCTGGGAACAGAGTGAAGTGGAATGAATGAGAAAATTGTCTGAAAGGGAAGGAAGGTTGAGGGGGAGGAGGAAATTTGACTAAGACCTAGCTTGGTTGTTACCAAGAACATAAATAGGAAAGAAAAATGTGTTGGGGAATAATGTGTCATTTTGGACATTGAGCCTGTAGTTGTCTAACAAGCAGTGAAGTGTAAAGGTGGGGAAAAGTTGGGAACTAGAGATGTAGAATTGGGAGTCAGTTGTCTAGCGATGAGCCCCACAAATGGATGAGGTCATTCATGAGCATCATAGAGTATGTAGAGATGAGACAAATGAAGACAGAACCCCAGAAAATATCAACTTTAGGAGACAAAAAAAGGCCTTTTGTCCACATACAAAAATGTCTCTTATCATATATGTTATGCTGCTTCATAATTATTGGTTTAATCAAGTAAAACACTGGATACCCTCAAGCAATGACCGTAAATGTTTACCTGCAGAGGTTATAACCCCTCACTTCTAACTTGGATAACCGAGCTGGTATTAAGTTTATGTTTCCCGAGTAAGTGAATATGCCCTAAGTATTCATATTTTCTTAAAATTGTCATTTGACTTTCCATTTTTATCATTGTGCTTAGAAATATATATATTCTGATGCTATATAAAAAATAAGATTTCTTTATTTCTACACTATTAAAAATATGACTTTTTCTACTACTTATTTTTTAAAGACAAAATTATTTGAATATTATATAAAGATCTAGAGCCAGTAGGTAACTTGCCTTTACTTAAAGTGTCTGATTTTGATGAAATAGATGGTCATTAACATGCATGCACCCATTTTTTATAGGAGTGGAAGTGTTAGTGGGTTGACACTTAAATTGATCCGGACGTCTGTCTCCGAAATGTTGGAAACCCTCTCAGATGATGATTTTGTGAATGTAGCTTCAGTAAGTATAAGATGACTACACTTCTTCGGTCATCCCATTTTGGGGGAATTAAATCTGCAATTTCTATCTCCTGTGACTTTAAAATACTCTGTAATGCTGTATTATAGACAGGCTGAGGTATTTCTGATCTATTACAAGACTATCTCACTGAGCTGTTCCTATCCTGTTACTAATTCTCCTTTATTTCTTCACCAAGGTCCTTTCTGAATGTCTAAGGCTTTACCCACAAAGTAATTGAAGGAAAAACATTACACATATTCTCCTTTACTCAGAGAAGCTTAACCAGGTGACATGAACCCTTTTACTCATTGATATCATTATAACTCTTAATAAAATTTATTTTTCAATTTAATGGGAGAACCAATAGATATTTGAATGTGCTACGTTTAGAGTTTTATTTCCCCAGAACCATCTTAGACCTTCCTATTCATAGAGTGTACTAAACTCTGAAACAAGTGAAATAGAACAAAATAAATGTTACCATGTCTCATTTTAATTCATAGAAGTGAGGCAAAAAATGCCATGGCTGGTGACGGATGGATATAATTTCACATTTGAAATGGATGTATTCCTAGAGATGAACGTGAGGGAAGGGGAATTTGTGGGGAGGTCATTTTGTATCAAACACGGGAGAATGGCTTTATCTCTGACACCACTGGGAGGAGGAAGGAGTTCAAGCACATGGCCTCCCTTAACTGAGAGGGCACCTTGGGGAGTGAAAGTGGGCAGGAGATGGAGCATAATCCCTTGTCAATCAGAGCTCCAGGTAACTAGATTAATATTTACTGAGAGGAAGAGGATTAGTCCTAACGTGCTTTTAGCATGATATCCCTGGCTAAGGGTAACTATGATAAATAGAACCCAGGATCAATGAAGCAAAACCCCTGAAAAATGTCCATGTGTGATATAACTCTGGTTAATAAATTGGAGCTTGTCCGTAGTTTAAACAGTCCAGCTATTCAAGGAACCCCTCAAACCTCTTATTGAGACTTTTCATCTGGGCCCAAGGGGTGTCTCCAGCATGATACTGAAGGGCCTGTCTATGTTTTCCAGAGCGGCCATATAGAATGCCACAGACTGGGTAGCTTGAACTACAGAAATGAATTTCCTCATAGTTCTGGGGGTCGGAAGTTCAAGGTCAAGCTGCCAGGAGAGTCAGTTTCACCTGAGTTCTCTTTCCGTGGCTGGCAGTAGCCACCTTCTTGCTGCCTCTTCACATAGTCACCTCTCTGTGTGTGCAGACCCCTGGTGTCTCTTCCTCTTTTTATAAGGACACATGTCCCTAAACTAACTGCCTCAGTTTAACTTAATCACCTGGTTGAAGTTCTTATCTTCGGACACTGTTACATTCTGAGATCCTGGCGTTGGGACTTCAACATATGAATGTCAGGGGGACACAGTTCAGCCCCTAATAACATGTGGGCACCACCGTCCATGTCCAGATCTTTTTCTGCTTCTGATGAACCTGTAGAAACCTTAGCTTGTCTGACCCTGTGTGTTACCTCGCCACTTAATCTGTAGCTCTCAAAAAAAGTGATCAGGAAAGACAGTCATTTTATTTCATTTGTACATAAACATATTGTTTATCACACAGCCATTGTGGTGGTTGCTAACAAAATATGATCTTTGACATCGCAAAAGAGAAAGTCGTAAATTCAGTATAGATTTGTCATATCTAAGTTTCTTTTGTTTAAGAACAGAAATTTTGATGCTTAAATCATGTAGGAGATGCAGAGTGAATGCTGCATCATTTCCTAGTGACTCTGTTGTTTCCAGTGCTGTTTTTTGGTTACAGAAAAGAAGCCTGCTGTTAGGCAAAGCTCAGATGCAAGCATTATGTAGCTGTTTTCCCACTAATCCAGTTATATGTTTTGACAGAAGTAAGTGGTAGATGATAGGAGCAGCAATTCAATTATAGCATGTTCTGATTTACAGGCAAAATTTCAAATGTTGACACGGGAGTGGAATTTGTTTACGAAAGTGAGGGAATTTGACGTTTTAGGAATAAAGTTGTGAGCTAGTGGATAATGAAAGGAAAATGTATGCTGATTATGGGCAATATGTGAAAAGTTAGCAACTGAACAAGGTTGTCATATATTTCCATAAAATCACATAGCTTCTTACTTAAGAATTAGATGCAAATATCAAATTGTATTAAGGTTCCTTGGGTGCATTTTCTTCAAGAAAGCTTTTATAATTCATGTGCATTAAAAAATGCTGTCCTGGAGTAGTCATCAGAAAGAAATAATCAAAATATAATTCCTTATATCTCTGCTATTAGTTGTAAGAGAGAACTTTTTTCTTAACCCTCACCCAAGGATATGTTTTCATTTTTAGAGAGAGATGAAGGGGAAGAGAGAGAGAGAGAGAGAGAGAGAGAGTGAGAGAGAGAGAGAAACATCGATAGGCTGTCTCCCATACTGGCCCTGACCACCGGCAATTGAACCCCCAACCTAGGTATGTGCCCTGACCTGGAATCAACCCTTTGGTGTATGGGATGATGCTCCATCCAACTGAACCAACTGGCCAGGGCTGAGAAACTTGTTTTTTACAGTAAACTCTCCACTTTACCTAGATTGTAGTCATACCTAGATTGTGGTCAGTAAACAACAGTTTTAGGAGTGACAGTCTCTAAATGTAGTGCAAAATGGAGAGTGAGGAACCACCACCACGTAGGACCTGGGGAAGGGATGACCTTGACCTGATGGCAACATTAGCAAGGCTCACCTCTTGTGAAGTGACCCACTTCCCACTCTTCTCAGACAATCCGGCCTCTTGGATGTACTCATTGAATTGCATAGGGATTGTGCATAACCTTTGAAATGACTAGTTACATGACCTTGTACAAGTTATGTAAGGCTTATGAATCTGTTTCTTCCTCTTTGAAAAGGACATCATATTTAACTTGTCAAAAAACTATTGAGCACTATATGAAAAAATCTTATGGCAATTGTTGTTATTATTACCATCACATTCTTCTAATACTTTTCTACCAACTGCTGAGAGACAGTTCTTCATGAATACGTCACATTTCTTCAAGGCTAAGCATTAACAGCCAATCTGCTCAGCTTTATGTCCATTCCAGGAGAGTGAAGGGAGAGCTGTCTTCTCCCCCAGAAGAGGTTTACATTGCCGAGTCATTAAGATATGGTCTCCCTTTGATGAGGATGATGGTCTGTCTGCCAGCAGCCCCTTGTAAGCTCAGGGGCTTCCTCATTTGGGATCTCTTGCCCAAAACTCATCTATGGCCAGTGCGGATGACCTCTGGCCCTTCTCTTATCCTCTGTGGGAATTGGGTTTTGGGTGCAAATAGGTCTCAGTCTGGTTACTCCTGCCTTTTGTCTCTCACCAGAGGACTTGTATTTCTTGGGCTAGCACCGTGGTCGGCAAAATGCAGCTCGTGAGCCACATGCGGCTCTTTGACCCCTTGAGTGTGGCTCTTCCTAAGCCTTAGGAGTACCCTAATTAATAACAATGTACCTACCTATATAGTTTAAGTTTAAAAAATTTGGCTCTCAAAAGAAATTTCAATCGTTGTACTATTGATATTTGGCTCTGTTGACTAATGAGTTAGCCGGCCACTGGAGCATCTATGAAGCGGTAGAAGACTACTTAGCTTAAAAGTAGGATGAAATCTCAGACACCTCCCATTTCTTGACCTGATAGTTTAACACCAACTAATGTCAGGGGGCTTTGTTGAAATATGCAATTGTACATATCTGCAAAGAGACACGATTTGGATTGTTCCTTTCCCTATGAGCTTAGAACTTTTTTTTCCCCTTCTAAAATATGCCTAATGGCTTTCTCGGTTTAGGAACTTTTCTGCATATGATAATGAGCACAGTTGTCAGTTGTTGCACAATTTAAATTTAAAAGTTATTTTTACACCCTTCCGAAGCAGGCCCGCATTTGCCAGTGCTCGAGTAAAAGAAAAGATACTCGGCATGCCATTGCAGTTTGCTGACAAATGAATTCTGGGAGAGTAATGTCATTTCACGTCTTATAAAATAGTCATCCGTTTAGATTTCAGGAAAATTTTATGTTGATTCATATCTCATGTCAACAAATAAGAATATTATAGTTTATACCCTTGATTCTCACAGTGGGGCCTGTGGCCAAGCAGCATGAGCCGTCTGCACCTGGCAGCTGGTTAGAAATGCAGAATCTCAAACTCTGCCCCTGATCTAAGGATCCAGAATCTGCTGTTAGCAAGTCTCCCAAGTGATTCCTCAACAGTGGGAAAACCAGAGAATCAGGGCTCATCAGGGAGGCACATTTGGCAGAGACCAGTGGGCATCTGCCTGGGGCTTATTGTAACTAATCATGCTTATTCATGATTGAGATGTTAAGATCTTGGTACTTCATAGAATTACTAATACAATGGATGTTTATGAATGTTTTTATTGTGTAGCCATTTACTTTTGTGAGGGTGAAATTAAAAAACAACACAGGAAGGAGTAAAATTAAGCTCATTAAAAAAACTGAAATTCCCTCTTTTTACATACTTTTAAATGTAAAGATGGGTGCTTTAAAAATTATTTTCATCTAAATTATACACAGAAGAAATTGTAGACTGTGAAGGAAAGACTGAAATGAGAAATTTAGGGATTATATAACAAGACAAGTAATCAAGGTTATTTAGTTAAAAAAAGAGATTGCTAGAGGATAACTTAATTGCTTTGGAAGTATAAGGAAAGTTTATAAGAAGGTGTGGACAAGCATGGTAAATATTTTTCCATTAATTATAAGGTGCAAGAAAGATGGCTTTGGTACTTAAAAATTAGTTGCATTTGGAGTTTTAGAAATAAGAAAGTAATACTTAAAGTGAGGCAGAGGGAATACTTTTAAAACTGAGCTATTGTTTTTAAAATAAAAGCATTGACTTATTTACTGGGGCTTAAAGGACTAGGTAAAGACTCCATGCCCAATAAGCATAGATGTATGTCATTACATGTTGGGTAAAATTTTTCAAATTACATTTATTCATTTAATTTTAAGTA